TCGGCTCGGCTCAGTTTGCGTTTCCACTGCAGTTCAGTACCGCTTTAGAGTGGGCGGGATTATTCACATGTCGTTATAGTTGCGCCGCCTCTACTGCCGGGCGACTCCTATAAAACTTTTTCATTCCGCGTCGCCCCATCAAGCTCTCACTGGATCCGCTTCTCTGCTATCAACGAGAGGAACGTCTGTACTTCCTCAACAGACCACAAAACAGCCACTGTTTTTGGTTGTTAAAAAAGGTGCGCTCGTTCAAAACAGTTGCATTCAATCCTTCGCTGGCTGTGCTGATTTAAATCTAGCGGTTCTGTTGTGTTTGTGTCACAAGTTCAATGACGCAGGTAATGAGTTTACACGTCACGTTTTGGTAACGGTACGGTTCACTTGGAACCTCAACCGAGGTGGTACTAAAAAAGTACCAGGTACCAGGTACTGTACCCAGTGGAACCCCCCCCCCCCCAAAAGTGAACCGTACCATGCCGTACCATGCAGTGGAAAAGCACCATAAGCGTGAAAGTTCCGAAACTGAAGCTGTAGTACTAGTAGAACGTGATGACACACAAGAACTCATCCACAATATCCACTGACCGCCACACATATCCACCACCCGCTGCCATCAGCTCCCGCGTCTCACACACACACAAGCGTGACTTCAGTGCTAGATTTAGCAACTTTCAGACGCTTTTAGCGGCTTTTCCCCATAGAATATATATACTGACAAACCTAGCAATTTTTTGGGATAAACCGTAGCTATGATTCAGTTGGAAGATGTCGTCAGTGCTGCCCCGCGAGCGCGAGGTCTGACTCTCCCGGCGCAGTGTCGTCTCTCTCTGTGTCAGATTAGCTGTGGCTGGCAAATATTTTCTCGTTTTTTCTTTTAAAAGCAGTTTGCCGGCAAAGTTTATAATCTTCAAACGACATGTTGAATATCCTCAGAGGTCTGGAGTCAGGGAACAGACCTTCCGAGTGAAAAGCCTGTCCAAGTCGCAGTCAATTAATAAAGCTCAGAACACCAGACATTAAAGATCCTGCTGAAAAGACCCTGTTATACTAACACGACTAGCTGTTGGTTTTGTTGACCAGCACAACACAATATATGCTTGTCTTTTCCACAAATCCAAAGGTTGAAAATTCCTCTGTTTCTGAGAGGTCGCAGACAGCCTAAATATAGCGTGGCTGGTGTTTCTAGATTTAATCTGTGAGTGTGCATTTTATACTGAAGATATTTCCCTACCATTCACTGCTATGGAGTATGAGAGCTGCTATTAGCCTAGGCTGGATAATTGCAGGTAATAACAGTGTAGAAAGAACAAGTCAGGGGCAACAAGACATGCTTATGGCATTTGAGAGAAGGAGACAATAGCAGCTTTTACAGAAAGGTTAGACGGTTGCGTGACCTGCTACTGTGTGGGAACCCTGGGGACGACCTTTTCTCACCCACCTGTCATTACTTTACATTAACTTCATTAATCTCTGCCTTCGCATACAAATACAGCAGTTCAGCACACTGCTTGTGTGCAGCATGTAGTACATTGGCAGTGAAAATAGTGAGTGTCCTGAAACTGAGTAGCGACTGATCCAAAACCTCGTAAGCTGCCTTGAAAGTGCATAGGTGCACTTATATATGCATATACCTATAGTGCATATATATATATATACATGTATATGTATATGTACTTATATAGTGCATATAAAAGTGCATAGGCTATAACAACATTAGCATATTGCTAAGCTAATCATTTAATGCTCCTCATGGACATCAAAATGAAGGTTTTTGTGTCTTAGTTCTTGCATCGGATACATGATGTTCATAGTGAGTTTCGTAGTGGTTAATGTTTTGTGGTATGTGTGTTTGTATTCTTAGCACAACTTTCATTCTGTTATTCTGATCTCTCTGTGACTTCTTCCCTCAGATGAACCATCTCACATATGTCAGCTATTAGACTGCCAGCTGACAGTCCGCATGGCAGTCTGCAGCTCAGAAACCCAGATTCATAGCATTGGATAACTTATGACCCAAGAATGCCCCACACCTTTGATCTATCTCTCAGAGAACCTTCATCAATCATTGTGCAGCATTTGAAGACTTTTTAGAAATATAAAAGCCCTTCTAAAAGGAAGTGTCAAAGTGTTAAAGGCTTCTTTCAAAACTATTAAAAACCTTACCACCCCAAACTTTTGAAGGACAACGTATATCAAAAAATGTTGAATAAAAACCATTGTCTGTGGCTATTATCAGTTACGATACTACCTTAGAAGGCTGTGAGGTGTCTCACTAGGCTTTGGAACAGTGATGAAGTTCTCTCTTGAGTTTTAGATAGAAGATTCTAAAACGCTTCTATGTTGGAACATTCCAGCTGTTTCTCTGAGGATTAGGATAATGAGAAATACTGTAACTCAGGGTAGTGTGTTAGAAAGCACATCCACCTCAGTGCATAATGCTAGTCAGTAAGGTGTAGGATAATTACTCTGTGCTGTGCATGGTGTCATATCATCAGAGAGAATTAAAGCCCTCATGTTCTCTGCAGGTGGGCTCATGCAGCCTAAGCTCCTGAAATATGATTGTGCACACATTCTTTTTTTATAACACTCAGTATAGAGGATTTTAAATCCATAGTGTGATGGTTTGTCCACTGACAAGGTGATATTTGAGCTTTTTGATTGCAGAAGTGGTAATTATGGCTCCCAACTGCCTCCATGTTTGTAATATTCATTACATTTGTGCATTTGGTAGATGCTATTATTCAAAGTGAGTTGTGTTGCATTCAAGATTTTATCAGACATTTTATCAGTTGCATGCCTTCGCTGGGAATTGACAACTGGCAATGCTGCTTATCTGACAACTGGGACCATCTACTTAATTATTATTTTTTATTTTTTTGCTTGGAGTTACACTTTGTGTGATAGCAATTGTCTTTTTTTCCACCAGGAGGAGATTTTATGTTCTTTTTTCATTTATTTTTTAAAGATTTTTTTCCAAGATCTTACAGATTTGATCATAGTTTTATCCATTTTTACAAATCAAAAATAGGACATTTGAGTCTGAAAAGTGTCTCATTTGCTATCTAACAGCAGGCTTACAGAGCCTGATGCTTCCAAATTAAGGCAAGATCGTTGGCTTTCAAACAGTAAATGAGTAGTAAATTGCAGTTTGTTCAATCTCTGTGTATTTTTATGTGTGCGTGTGTGTCTGTGTGTGTATATGGACCGTCAGGTTGTACTTTTTTCTTGGTCGAGGCTTCTTCCCTTGTGTTTGTTTTGGTTAATTTTTGTGAGGCTGGTGTATATAGCCTACACTACTTTTCAAAAGTTTTTTTATTTTATTTTATTTGGCAAGGTTGCATTAAATTGATCAAAAGTGAAAGTAAATGCATTCATAATATAACAAAATATTTCTATTTCAATTATCTTTTCAACTTTCTGTTTTGCACAAAAATTAAGCGTTTTCAAAATTGATGATGATAAACTTTTCTTGAGCACCAAATCAGGATATTACAATGAATTTTGAAGGATCGTGTGAAGACTGCTGAAAATTCAGCTTTGCCATCATATTCAAAAATTATATTTTAAAATATATTAAAATAAAAATTCCAATGTTAAATTGTAATATTTCACAATGTTACTGATTTTACTGTATGTTTGATCAAATAAATGCAGCTTTGGTGAGCATAAGAAAGTTAAAAAAAAAACTACCAAACCCCAACTTTTGAACTATAGTGTATGTACGATTATTTAAATGATTCCGCTACACTGACTGTGATTGGTTGTTCACAGTTGGGCTCCTGTGTGGTGATGGTTTGTCCACTGACAAGGTGATATTTGAGCTTTTTGATTGCAGAAGTGGTAATTATGGCTCCCAACTGCCTCCATGTTCGTAATATTCATTACATTTGTGCATTTGGTAGATGCTATTATTCAAAGTGAGTTGTGTTGCATTCAAGATTTTATCAGACATTTTATCAGTTGCATGCCTTCGCTGGGAATTGACAACTGGCAATGCTGCTTGTCTGACAACTGGGACCATCTACTTAATTATTATTTTTTATTTTTTTGCTTGGAGTTACACTTTGTGTGATAGCAATTGTCTTTTTTTCCACCAGGAGGAGATTTTATGTTCTTTTTTCATTTATTTTTTAAAGATTTTTTTCCAAGATCTTACAGATTTGATCATAGTTTTATCCATTTTTACAAATCAAAAATAGGACATTTGAGTCTGAAAAGTGTCTCATTTGCTATCTAACAGCAGGCTTACAGAGCCTGATGCTTCCAAATTAAGGCAAGATCGTTGGCTTTCAAACAGTAAATGAGTAGTAAATTGCAGTTTGTTCAATCTCTGTGTATTTTTATGTGTGCGTGTGTGTCTGTGTGTGTATATGGACCGTCAGGTTGTACTTTTTTCTTGGTCGAGGCTTCTTCCCTTGTGTTTGTTTTGGTTAATTTTTGTGAGGCTGGTGTATATAGCCTACACTACTTTTCAAAAGTTTTTTTATTTTATTTTATTTGGCAAGGTTGCATTAAATTGATCAAAAGTGAAAGTAAATGCATTCATAATATAACAAAATATTTCTATTTCAATTATCTTTTCAACTTTCTGTTTTGCACAAAAATTAAGCGTTTTCAAAATTGATGATGATAAACTTTTCTTGAGCACCAAATCAGGATATTACAATGAATTTTGAAGGATCGTGTGAAGACTGCTGAAAATTCAGCTTTGCCATCATATTCAAAAATTATATTTTAAAATATATTAAAATAAAAATTCCAATGTTAAATTGTAATATTTCACAATGTTACTGATTTTACTGTATGTTTGATCAAATAAATGCAGCTTTGGTGAGCATAAGAAAGTTAAAAAAAAAACTACCAAACCCCAACTTTTGAACTATAGTGTATGTACGATTATTTAAATGATTCCGCTACACTGACTGTGATTGGTTGTTCACAGTTGGGCTCCTGTGTGTGTGTGTGTGTGTGTGTGTGTGTGTGTGTATGTGTGTTTACAGAACAGGCCTCCGGCAGTACAGGGCTCCCAGCACCAAAGCCACTCTCCAGCATGTATGAACCCAGCCCTGATGAGCTCCCCCTGGGTGAGACGGAAAAACAGGGGCCGTGCCATAACAAATTCTCTCTGTTTGTCCAGAACGGATGCGCTGCACTGTGTTGCATCTTCATTTTACACATTTTCACTGTTGTTTTCAGAAACATCAAATGCTTAGATGAAACAGATGACCATCCTGCTTTGAACGCATGCAGAGCAAACTATGTAGAACAGGGCTGTCCAAACTCAGTCCTTGAGGGCCGGTGTCTGGGCTGCAGAGTTTAGCTCCAACTTGCCTCAACACACCTGACTGGAAGTTTCTATGCCTAGTAAGAGCTTGGTTAGCTGGTTCAGGTGTGTTTAATTAGGGTTGGAGCTAAACTCTGCAGGACACCGGCCCTCCAGGACCGAGTTTGGACAGCCCTGAATTAGAACTTCTCTCTCTTGACTGGAGCATGTCAGCAGCAGTGCTTTGCTTTAATTGCGTGTGCATGCGGTTGCTCACAGAAAATATGAAACTTCACCATGCATCATGATTTCAGTCATTCTCAATTCTCCAAATAATGAATTGGCTTGTTCGTCTCGCAGGGCACAGAACTCATTGGCTGAAAGCCATTTACGTTGTTGCATTTTGCTCTGCAGTGGATTGTGAATTTCTTTCTGCCCTTTCTCATTTAGTTTTTTCTGCTTTCCTTTCTATCCCCATCTCTTCTTCTTTCTTTTCACATATATAGTATCGGTATCAGGATGATGATTCCCCTCCTCCAGAACATGGCTTCCTGCGGCTCACCAATGACGTTCGAGCGCCGGAGCTGGTGCACGTATCGGAGAAGAACCTCTCAGAAATCGAGAATGTGCATGGCTACGTTTCCCACGCTCACATTTCACCACTCAAGGTAAGTCACCCTTTCTCGAACCATCCAGTATGTAACACGATGGCCCTCTTCACATTGCTGTCTTTCACCTCCTCTCTTTTTTCATTTGTATGGCTGTTTGTTGGTCTGGTTGCCTCTTTGAGTGTCCGGTTTTCCATGTCATGTTTTCATACCTCATTTATATAAAAAATCTAAAGAAATCGTTTTTTTTGTTTTTTAAATGTATTTATTGGAAAGCGTTTGACCTGTAAGGCAGGCATTTGTTGGAACAGTTGTAGGTTATGAGTTAGTCTTCATTATAGCTCTAGTGCTGTGCTAAGCTGTGCTGTTGTGATATGACTTCTCAACACTAGATGGTGCTCAATTGTTAGTTTAAAAGCAGGGGATTGTGGCTGCATTATAGACCTCTTTGACTGTGGCAGTAGGTAGGTTATTTTGTACTGTGTTTGTCAGACACAGTAAAATCATCAGAAATAATTATTTAACAAATATTTAGGTAATGAATCTCTGTTTCAGACATTCCACCTTTTAAATCCTAGTACAATTACAGATGTATTTGTATTTATTTTATTTTAATATTCATTTATTGAATTTGAAAGAGGAATTTGGGGTCAGCAAGATTTATAAGACACAGTATAAGATTTATAATAAAAACAGTAATATTGTGAAATATTATTGCAATTCAAAATAACCATTTTATTTTTTTTAGTATATTTTAAAATGCAATTTAATCCTGTGGTGCAAAGCTGAATATTCAACAGCTGTTACTCCAGTCTTCAGTATCACATCCTTCAGAAATCATTCTAATATTATGATTTTCAAGAAACATTTATTTTTTACTATCAATGTTGAGAACAGTTGTGCGTCTTAATTTTGCGAAAGCCTTGAGACATTTTTTTTCAGGATTCTTTGATGAATAATTTATTTGAAATCAGATTTTTTTATATGTATATATAACAATGTAGAAGTCTTTGCTGTCACTTTTGATCAGTTTAATCGATTGAAATAAACGCTTACTGACCCCAAACATTTTTAACAATAGTATATTGTTTTTAGTAAAATACAATTAATAAATGTATTTATTTATTAATAAAATGTTGTTAAATTAAATTACAATTAATTAATTAAAATTAAATAACTTAATGAAATTAAATAAAATACTGCAATGAGAAATGATTATCAATTCAGTAAAAACTTGGCAATGTTATATAAACAGATTATCAAATAGTTTGAACTATATTTTATATATATATATTTTTTTTTTTTATATATATATATATATATATATATATATGTTTTTTTTTGTGTTTTTTTTGCCGCTTTGTGTATTTTTAAGTGTACTGCATTCATGAAAAAAGCCAGATACAAACCAAAATATTTATTTATTTCATAATTGAAAGCTTTTGTTGCTGTTTTTCTGTAATCAGATATGGCCCGGCTGGAGTCACACTCTCTGCCATAGAGACATTAACAGACTGTGCCTCATCTGATTGTCTGCAGATGATTCAAAAGCTCTGTGCTTTTATTTGATCTGAGGGAGAGTATGATTTTATTCCAGAGTGTATAGACCTGTCTGAAGCATTAGTCTCATCAGAATTCTGCACTGTCATCTCTTGTGCAGACAGTGTTTTAAGACCTCAATCTTTTTATTTTGCCTACAGCCGCTTCTCCACCAGTCACATAACAGCCTCTATCCTACAGACGCAAACTCTCGTCGACACTCAGGCGCAGGATGTTACTTGTCAGTAGGACAAAAAAAAACAACCCTGTACTGACCTACTCCTCTCACTTCCTGTTCCCCAAAGCAAGGTGAGGGATACAGGTTAAAACACTGTCACACACAAGACATGCTCTTACGTTCTATCTACGTTATTTTTAAGTGGTTGGTTTACACACACATGCATCAGGCAGACATCTTCAGTCACTATGCCGCATCTCACTGTTTTTTTTAGCATCTTATGCCATGAGCGTAGAATTTAGTTTTGGGTTAAATGCATTCAACTTTTCATTTTGAGATCCCTGCATTCTGTTCCATTCCTCTCCGTCTAGTTGTTTATGAAAGCAACAGCGCGCGCTGTGTGAACAGCCTCAGATTGCTTTTACCGTTCGTGTGCAGCAAGGGTCGGAAGGTCGTCTTAGGGGGTCAGAGCCAAAATAACCTTGAAATCAAAGCCTCATCCTGCCATCTTTTTTTTCCCTTCCCCTCCTTTCTTCCTCTCATGGTTCATGCACTATGTCTGCATTTTCATCTTCTCTCATCCTGTCTCCTCAGCCTCTCTCTTCCCTCCCTAAGTGCAGCTGACATGCTGGTGATGCTCTTTTGTATTTTCTCGCCTGCAGCCTGCGCTGGTTACCCGGTTTGATCTAACATACCCAGGGGTGACCGCAGCAAACTACCTGGCAAGTTTGTGATATTTATTTTAAATGTCTATTTTTTCCCGTTGTTATCTTGTTGTTGTTGTTGTGGTGGTGATTTTTGTTGTTGTGGTTCATCCGTACTCAGGAACATTACGTCTGTGCCAATGTTCCGACACTGTGTGACATCCGCATGAAATTCTTCAGAGGGTCTGAATAACAGACCCCTGGGTCTTCAACCAGAACCTCCCTTTGAAGAAACCCATTTGTGCAGTGAAATCACATTTATTTTCTCCAAATATGGTTGACACAAGTGAAATCAATTTATGTGATGTTCATCTTTTTTTTACCCGTGATGTTTGCTTTGGGGTTAATATGTTGTTCAGTGTGATTGCTGCTGATATTTGATGACTTTTATTGCATATGAGGTACATTGACCATTGAGAGAAATCTATGTTGGTTTCTGTTAGTGTGTGTGTGTGTGTGTGTGTGTGTGTGCGTGTGTGAATGAGCATATTTGAAAAATCTACCTTCTTGCATTAGCAGTCAGTGATTGTACACAGTCCGTATGGCAGGTACAGTTTGTGTCACACTTCTGGTATCACTCTGCCTTATCAGGCCTTCCAGAAACTTAAATGCACACACAGAAAACTTACACTTCAACCATCCTCATGGCCTCTTCAGTCTGTCAGTTGTGCTAATGCTACAGCCTCAGTAGACCGTCACCATGACAGCCTGTCCTCTTCAAGTTTCTGCACTCACGCCAGGGATGCTCCGCTGAAAATTAGCTAACAGCTTCAACTTGTAGATCTGTCACACCTCAGGATTGAATGCGGTACAAGTTAATCCTGAGATAAACAAAAATGCAAGCATCAACTGCTGTTGAGGAACTAAAGTATGCACACTGTATTTCTGTTGGAAGTCTGTGGTCCTACAGAAATATATGTGTATTCTGTATAAGTTGTGGTCACAATAATCTATAGATATGCAAAATGATAATATTCTTTTTTAATAATTTTAATTGTTTTTAATATTATTTTAAATGTTTTCTTTAATATTAAATTATTTATTTAATATTATAGTATTAAATGATTTTAAATATTTTTATATTAAATATGAAATATCATTATATAATATATCATGATACTATTAATATGAAATATTATTTGGAAAAAAAACTATCTTTTAATTTAACATTCTTTTCAATAATTGTATGCATTCATGTGCTTAATTTTATATATATATATATACATACATACATACACACACCTTTAGCCTCAGATGTCACACATTCAAGCAGATTTTGCATGAAAAAATTACGAGAGCTTTCAAAAAATAAAAAAAAACACTAAGCTTTAAACTGATTGGCTGGATTTATTAGTAGCAAGTAAACAAGATATGTTGACCAGATGACTCATTCCTGTCTAAGTGAGCAGTTTTTGTCCAGAATAAGTTGAGGAAAAGACTTTGTATAGATGGTCAAAGGTCTGTCTACATGAGACTATTAGAAGCTTTCAGTCTTGATGCACTCTATTCAACAGCCAAACTTGTTGATTAAATCACTATCGACTTTCTCTGCATGCATATTCTAGCCTTGCCGTCCCCTCGTGTCTCGGAGAAAGTGAGTGTGAGACTATTATGCCGAGAGGTGAGCTAGAAATGTAGCACCATTATTCTCACTGAATCACTGCAGGGCTAAACATTGTGAATCAGCTTGTACACCCGTCGCCTGTTTTCAGCCCAGGTCCTCCTACTGAAAAGCTGCTTTAACACAAACACTAATTGAACGGCTGCATAAGAAGGTTTTCTCAGAAGCTTGACAGTCGGATAGCATGATATCGATCCTCGGGTCGCATTATTGAATAACATAACAACCAGAAAGGACACGCACCTTCTAGCTGAGATATTAGCCATCCGCCAGTCGAGCAAACATCTGTGGTTTTAATGAGCGGAGCTCGGCAGGGGTGAGGCATGATATTTATTAGCAGAATCAGTGTGATTGGAGAGCTCTTTTCTTCCTGAGAGAGCGCATCTCGGAAAAGAAGTGAGAGACAGCAAAGGCTCAGGGTTAATGGTGATTGTTTGGTTATCTCTCCTCCCTGGTGAAATGATTACTTCAGAGTCAGGGCTCTGTATGTGCCCAGGTCGGAGTAAAGGACCAGGCTTGATTGTCTGGGAGATGAGCCTTGGGTGGAATTAGAGATCAGACAATTACCTCGAAAAGAAAGAAAAGAGGAGGGGAGGAGTAAGGCGAGGGGAATAACTAAAAAAAAAATGGAAAGGAGAGTTGTGCAGAGGCCTAAATATTAATTAATCACAAATTTGTTACTGTTAAAGCCATATCAAAATAATTTAGCACAGCTGCTAACAGGAAGAAATATGTTGAAGTCTTTTTAGCAGTGTTTCCTTGTCACAATTTCTACAGGCCATACTTTTTTCCTAGATTTTTTTTTTTTCATTAAACATTCTCACATAAAGTGTGACTTAGTGTGGTCGCATTAGCATATTCATTTTAGTTTAAGTTTTAGTACTTTTGTCATTTTTATTATTTCTCTTTTTTAATATTTCTGTTTAGCTTTTTTATTTTAGTTTGAAGTCATTTTAGTGCTTCAGCATAAACATTTATTTGAGTTAATTCATTTCAGGCAACATTTCAGATTTTTTCATCTTATAGTTTCATCTTATAAGCACTGAAGAAAGCATGGGCTGAAACATCTGCTCTTTGGTCTGTTTTTAAGACACTTTGCACCAGGGCCAGAGTGGGACTCATCTTCAGCCCTGTAGTTTCATGCCTTAGACCGACCCACTTAGTTTTTTTTTCTGGCTTTTTCAGTGCCGCCTTTGCGCTTTCTATTATACATTTTTTCTATCTATAATTTTTTGTTCAGATATCTCCAACAATGACTTTTTTTTTTTTTTTAGCAAGGTTCCGCTGTCAGGTGAGTCAAAAGATAATTACGTCATCATTGCCAATCAACATAAGAAATGGAAAATAAGGGACAATTGTAATCCTTTATCTTATTCTTTAAGAAAATAGTGTTTATTATTGTAGAAAATAAGTGTTTATTCTTGTAGAAAATAAGGGACAGAATAAGGGACGTTCCAAATATTTGTACTGTACCATAATGTAGGTCTAAGTCTGCCTGCAGTTAAAAAGTTCTCAGAAATAATCACAATTGTTTTGATTAACCTATTTATGTACAATTAATTATGTCATACAAAAAATGTCATCGGCCTGAGTAAATTGTACCATTGTAGAATTTTGGCTTCACACGTGTAATTGAGGAGGTGAAAATACTGTGAAATTACAAATGGCATGAAATTTGAAAATCTAACAACTGAAGGTCTGTGAAACGTCAGTCAATCAAGCATTTTTTTTTTTTAAACAATGGCACTTAAAGATTTGATCTAAAATATTATTGCAACTATAGCCATTGAATGATTGAAAATGCATATTTTTCAATTGAAGAAAACTTAAGAGAGTGTGGGCCGCTTCTGGTGCTTGGATTTTTACTTCAATAATGAGGTCCAAGTTTAAGAATAGCCTACGCAAGAAGTATTTATTTATTTATTTTTTTTAATGTATTTTTTGTAATGCATTTTTCCCCTCTATTTAACAGCATTAACTTACAGTGAAAGACGTCTTCCCTCAGGTAGATTAAATGTTTTCCTGCCGTGCTGGATGTTGGGCTCATGATCAATAAGTTGTTTGCATTCGCCCAAACTGATTTTGTAAAATAAAAAAGCGGACGGTGAAGGGTGCAGTTAGCGACAGTCCCGCTCGCTGTGAAGCGGGAGCAGCCGGCAGAGGATTCTGCTTGGTCTTAAAGCCTCCCTCAAACGTCTGTTCACAAATAAAACAACAATTTGCACAAAAAGAATGATTAGTTATCACAGTCTATTTTAGTTATCAATTGAGAATTTGTTACTGATATGATCTGGTGAAAATAATAATATGGCCTGCGAGAAAATAAATAAAAAGAGTGGGGCTGCTATGAGTGCAGGCAGCCTAGGAACAGCATAGTTCAACCCAGTGGCATGACAACACCGGCCCTCACGGCCAAAAGCTAGACCGGCCCACCGGGAATCCTCCCGGTGCTCCCGACTAGCCAATCCGGGCCTGCTTTGCACTTTTGTCATTTTTTCACTTTTGCATATGGAAAATAAAATATATTTTTGATAGACCTTTTTTGGTCTGATTATATTTTTTCAGTGTGCGGACAACTTCAACTACTTGGTTGGCTAAACTTCTTTTTGTTTACGCACCTGACAATTCATTGTTTTTTCTTACTTTTTTGAGCGCACACAATTACTGTTTGATTTCAGCATTATTTCAATTAATGAAATTGAATTATTCATTTTTGTTAACAATAACAACACTGCAGAGAGGTCACACAAAAGTTTGTTTGGTCAATGCAACAAATTTGCAAAATCTGTGTTTAAATCTTTCGCCCTGACACAAAATTCCAGATAATGTGTATTCCTATCGAACTGACTCAATTTCACCTGTGAAAATTTGCTGAACAACAGTAAATGTGACCACACCTTTAGGCCAGTAAACCACCCAGAACTGCCTAGCCAAGGCATTGCAACACATTAAAAACACACTCACCTTAGCAACTACATAGTGATGCCCTACCTCTCACAATAGTCGTCTCTGTTCATTTTTGGCTTGCTATTTTGTCATGGTTGTGTCTCAACAAGGACAGCATATCTACCACAGACAGGCATTTTTTTCCGAGTGCATGTAACGTGAAGTCAAGGAGTTTGAATTTGTTCCATTAGCATACTAATTGTTTTCAGGTCTTCTCATTTTTGTCACATCACTTCAACTAAAGCGCTTATGTCTGCCCTGAAGCAGGAGCTTAATGAAATTGGCTCCAGCAGGGTTTTTTTTTTGTTTGTTTGTTTTTTTGTTAAAGGAGATGAACTCATTAGTCTATTCATAGACTGTTTTTTGAAGGGGTTTTAGGAGTCAGGACTTGTGCTGTATTCACCTTTACACACAAGATTTAAAAGAGTGTTTGGAGAGTTACAGGGGCCAG